AGCAAAAGAGCCGCAGACAAGGCAAAAAGCCTACCTCCCAGAGTTGATTAAATCAATTGCGATACGGCCACTGAATGGGAAACCATGTAGCTATTAAAGAGAATAAAGTAACCCATCGTTGCATAATGGTCATATTATCATATATGCTCTAGTATAATTTACAATATTGTGTTATTATGTATCATATTAATGAAACACAAATTACTAGTATTTATTAAATAATATGAATCATTTATGGTGATTATTTTTTATTACGCACTGCAAACCACTGTATTAACACATCATACATTAATTCATGAAAAATCAAAGTGCAGAGAACTGCAGAGTCAGTCCATTTGTATAAAAATAAAAATTGGAGACTATAAATACGTTTGAGTATATGAGTGTGTCTATCAACCGTCGGGAGCAGCGGGGCTCAGTAATTCCCCGCGCATCAGCATCACCTGGAGCGCTCCACCGGCGGGTCTAATTTGGCAGGTGTGGGTGAGCCGGCGAGGATGCGGGGCTGCAAGCTCCCAAGTGATGCTGCTGGTCCGGGACGAGGCACGCTCGCTGGGCTCAACCGCGGGGAGGTGGGGGACAGGGAGCTTTGGGGTTTTTACTTCTTTAACAACTACGCATTCATCCCACAACCCTTGCCGAGCGTGGGCTCCGCACAGGGCAGCCGTGGACCGCCCGGGGGTCGGGCTGGCAACCAGAACCGCCACTTTTCCTCCGCTTCCGGCGTGCTTCGCCCCAGAGGGGAAACTGAGGCTCCGACGCGCGCCGTCCAAGGTCTCGGACTTAGTCTGGCGGAGCTGGGATTCGAACCCTGACTCGGCGTCGCCGACAAACGTTCCGCCCGCTCCCGAGTTCCGGACACGCCTCCTTTGCCGTGGCCGTGGGGACTCCCGACCCACCGTCCCAGCGCACGCGGGAACCCCCGAAGGCCGGCCGGTCGGTCGACGGGAGTCCGCGGGGAGCGCCCGGCGCGCGCCCGCTGGAGCCCCGCCCAGCCCCGCCGGCCGCAGGGACGGGGCGGGGCCGCGCGACGGCCGGGCGGGCGCGCTCGCGCTCGTGTCCGCGGGGCGAGCTCACGGGAGCGACGCCAGGATAGAGGCTCGCGGAGCCGCCATTCCAACGCAGGCGCGGTGGCCAAGTGGTAAGGCGTCGGTCTCGTAAACCGAAGATCACGGGTTCGAACCCCGTCCGTGCCTACTGCCGGTCTTTCTTGGCTGGGAGACTTTTTAGGCTTGGGATCGCTTTTCCAGAGTGGCCCTCCGCAGAGCCCGCCTCCTGTATTCCGCAGCTAGAGCCTCGCCCCTGGGAGCCATGGGTGCAGAGCCGGCCAACTGTTTTCACCCTGTTTGACTTCAAGTTCTCTTCCCCTCCTCGCGGAGGATGAGCGTCTGGGTGGTCTGGCCTCCGCGCGTCCGCAAGCTCGGCCCGCGCGGCACTCCGCTCCCTGCAAACAGCGCCCCCTGCCGCCCCCCAGCGGGAAGTGGAGGGGCCCCCGGACACCCGTGGCCCTGGGCAAAAAAATAAAAAAAATTAAAAAACACCCCACAGCTGCTGTCACTTGACTGGAGAGCCACTAAGCTTTTTCCCTCAACATTAAAGTCCAATTTTACCCTCTCTAATGAGAGGACTGCCGTGGCCTGATGCCGGGCCCACACCCAGAGTCAGCTGCTGGCTGGCTTGCTATTTTTAAAAAGAAATCCGTTGCAGGCACTGCATTCGAGAGGAAACCCTCCCCAGAGGTGCAGCCGTTCTGACGGGAACACCTAAACCGGTGTGAGCCTCCGCGTGCCCTTCTGTGAAATGGGTCTCTGGCCAGCCGCAGGTGTTTATGAAGTCGCTGCCAGACACACTGGCCGGAGAGGCGGCCTCAGTAAACGGAGCTAGGGCCGCAGGGAACCTGTTTTCTTTGCACCACGAAAGGATGCACCACGGGGCTGCTCGAGTGCAGTATGCAGTGACCTCGACCCCAGGGAGGTGGCCTATTGTGTCATCTGAAAACCGGCTTGACCTAGCTCGTGGAAACCTGGGTCAGCCTGACATTCCTAATAGAGTCATGGAGCTCCTGGTGTACGCGTGGTGGAGCTGAACTCAGGGGCTACCTCGGTGAACCAGACAGATCCGGGCGAGCTGTCTCTGATGGAGAGAGTGGGGTTGGGGATGCGATGGGGGGGGGGGGGGGGGGGGGGGGGGGGGGGGGGGCGGCGGGGAGCCTGGCAGGAGCGGCCGGGGGTTAGACTCCCGGACTTGTCGGGCTTCATCAGCATCCCCAGGCTTGTGGAAACGCTGATCACTGGGCTCCACCTCCAGCGCTTCTGCATTCAGTAAATCCGAGATGGAGCCTGACCGTTTGCATTTGTAACTACCTCCCACCTGATGCTGATGCTGCCGGACCACACGGAGAACTGCTCTTCGAAAGACAGCCCCATTCTAAAGCCACACTCTAAACCCCGGGGCACGTGTGTGTGCATGTATACAAATGTGGAAGCTCACACACATGAAAGTAGTGAACAACAGGGCTTCTCACACTTCAACCTGGGGCGCGCAGGAAAAGGCAGGTTCTGATTCTTTAGTGGAGCCGGAGACTGCATTTCTGCGTCTTGCTGATGCTGGGGTGACTGGTCCCCGCCTTCCCTGACTGGACATAGGGTAGAAGGATCCACACCAAATTAACAGTCGTTGCCTCTCTGGGCGGGGGGGGGATGTCCAATCGGAGAGCTGTTGAAAGTCTTCCTTCATTTCTATCCTGTAAATGTTCACATTGTTTGGATTTTCTGGGAGATGATTGTATGACATGTGTAATTTTTTTGTTCTTACCAGAATCACTCCAGAACCCACAAACCCAAAGATAACCTATTAGAACACAGGCATATTAGAATGATCCAGAATTAAGACAGATAATGATTGAGTGTCCTCTTCTCTCCACTGGGGCACCCATTCATTTCTTTTTAAAGAAGTGTCACAAAAGAACACTTGGGCTCTTCCCTTTTCCCAAAATAGGGCGCCTGGGTGGCTCAGTCAGTTAAGCAACTGTCTTCGGCTCAGGTCATGATCCTGGAGCCCTGGGATCGAGTCCCACATCGGGCTCCCTGCTCAGCGGGGAGTCTGCTTCTCCCTCTGACCCTCTTCCCTCTCGTGCTGTCTCTCATTCTCTCTCAGATAAATAAATATAAATCTTAAAAAAAAATCCCAAAATATCCCTCCCCATTAAACAAACAGAAAACTACACTGCCCCCACAGGTAGGCCAGTATCTGTGGGGGGGGGGGGGGGGGGAGGTTACTTGTCCAGGGAGATTTTCCTGTCCTTCCCTCCAAAGAGTGAATCAGTGCTCCTAGGTGACATCATCCTAGGAAAGCACCCCCAACAATTTCCCCGCCTCACCCTACACAGGGTGCCAACCCCCTCGGCTGCACATGATGAATGGACTTTAGAAAAAGGCAATTTACATAAGGTACTGTGAGTACCATTCTCCACCTCCCCCCCACAAAAATTGCACAAAATATCTAAGGGTATATATTTATATGTGGAGAAGCACATGCTATTTTGTTTTTCGTTCTTAAGCCTGGAAGATTACACATAAATCTCAAAATCATCACCTCTGGTTGAAATCTGGGGATGCCACAGAGCTGTAAAAACCAGTTTGGCACAGGCTGTCGAATCAGGCACCAGTGACCAAAATCCTGAATTTGCGTCCTCTTTACACTTAAATGCGTAGCGCTGATTAGGTGTCTGAATAAGCAAAGCCATTTTATGTTGATTTAAACCACTTGTGTTCATGAATATAGAAAGCCATGTTTGGATTTCTATAATTTTTCTATGAATTTCTGAAAGTCGGCTTGAACTCCGCTGTGTTTGCTCTGTGAAGAATCGTTCTCTGGTCGGCTTTGGGTATGAAAAGGGAAAGATAAGAAGCCCCTGACGCTGGGGGTGGGAGGAGAGGTAACTGAGCCTAGATCCTCTGAGACCCTGCTGTGTGAACTGGACCACTGGGGAGAAGGTGGGTTTGCACTGAGAGCTCTGTAAGGACAGATCATGAGAGTGAGTAGTAGAAAAAAGTTTAAATAAGAATTCTGAAGCCAAAGAGGGAGCCCAGGACCCTAGCGTTAGCAAGGAAGGGCTGTTTTGTCAACAGAGGCTGCGCGGTAGTAAACTTCAACAGTGACACCAGGTGGCAGCATAGAGCAAGGGCAGGGTTAGCCTGGCTTCTCTCTGCCCTGCAACTACCAGAAACCCGTGGGAGCCATAGACCCTCCACTTAACCTCTCTGGGCCTCAGTTTCTCCAGTTCTGAAACTGGAATGACACACACTCACTTGCTTCTTGTCTGGTGGAGTCTTCCTGATGACAACATTGTAAACATCCATCAGCCAGGATGTCAAGGGTGGTCCATCCATGTCATGGCATCATGGGCAGCCGTTAAAAGGAATGACTGACTCATGGATCTGGAGATTAATTTAGTAAGAAAAGCTGTGTCCTGCTTTTGGGTTTTGTTTACAGCTTTATCAGGGTATAACTGATAAACAAAAGCACCCACACATATTGAACGTATACAACTGGATGAGTTTGGACATATGGACACGCCCTGGAAACCATCACCACATTCAAGGTAGTAGACAGACCATCACCTCCAGCCTTCCTGGGTCCCTTTGCTTTTTGTGTGTATGTGATAAGAACACTTAATGTGAGATCTGCCCTCTCAACAAATTGGTTAACGATAGTCACTCTCTTGTACAGATCTCTAGAATTCCTCCATCTTGTATAACTGTAACTCTAGTGGATGTCTTTGTAAAAAATAAATAGGCATATTTATCCACACATGTATGGATTTTTCTGTTGGTTTCTCAGAATGTGAAGAACACCCACCCCCCACGCGGATGGCTCCCTGTCATGCTCTTGACCATGAAGACCTCCAGGTGGGGTGAGTGGTGGCAGGGAATTACAGAGCCAATGACCAATTGCTTTTCTATTATTGTGACATCAGAGAGAGAAGCTGTGTTACTTTCAGATTCACTATTTTTGCAGCATAAACTTAAAATCTTAACAACAGAAAAAAAGAGAAAATGTAAAGAGTACACAGATGTCAGGGCTCTGGAGGGCACAGGTGTTCACACTGAGCTCACACCACATGGGTGAGATGCCCGGTCTGCAGGGAGAAAGCCCACTCTTGTCATCCAAACTGACTCCCTCGAAGGAGAGGCCTCAGATCGACCGCCCTGGCGCGTCTCCCATCTGGAGTGACATCATGTGCCTTGAAAACCTACATTAAAGAATGAAAAATGGCCCTCTTAATAAGAGAGTGAGTGATTTATAGTCATGCATGAGTTGAGAGCCACATTTCAAAACCAGAAGCGTATTTCAGGCATGAGTAGCACTTAAAAGAAAATATTGTGGCAGGCCCCTGGAAGCACCAGACGTTGTTTGTGTCACATCTACTTGAGTTTTGCTTCAGCAAATCACCAGGCTGGCTCACGAGGAACACTCCCTGAGACCGTGTTCCTGTCTGTGCCCCGCTCCCCCATCCTGCCCTTCTCACTCAGGTAGGCAGAGCTGATTTTTCAGTCCCTGTGGGTACAGGAGAACCCCCAAACTTGATGCCTCGCTGGATGTAAGATCTGCAACGATTCTGGAAACACACCCAGATAAGAAACCCCATCTCTTCCTTGGAGAAGTGTTGGCGGGCAGATTCTATGATATCCTGTTATACTTGCCTTCTGGTCTTTGCACTTCATGTCATCCCTTCTTCTTAAGTGGGGTGACCTGCTTCCAGCCAACAGCATCCGGCAAAGGGGATGTGATGCCTCTTCTCTGATTATGTTACATAAGATGGCCACACCCATGTGGATAGCAGACTGTCTCCTGCTGGCTGGACGAAATGAGCAGCCATGTTGGGGAGGCCCCCATGGCGAGGAATGGAAGGCATCCTCCAGCCAACAACCAGCAAGAAATTAGAGCCCTTGGTCCAATGGGCCACAAGGAACTGAATTCTGTCAGCAGCCATGTGATCTTGAAAGTGAGTCCTTCCAGTTGCTATGAGCTAAACATTTATATCACACACACACACCCCCAAGTTCATATGTCAAAGCCCTAATCCCCAGTGCGATGGTATTAGGGGGTTAGGCCTTTGGAGGCTAATCAGAAGGGGATGAGGTCATGAGGGTGAGGTGCTCAGGGTGGAATTCATGCCTTATAAAAAGAGGATGAGACACGAGCGCTCTCTCGCTCTCTCTCTCTCTCTCTCCACCATGTAAGGACAAAGAAGGCCATCCTAGCGACAAACCCAGGATCCAGGTTTGAGTTGGTTTTCTCCCACCGCTGGATCAAGTTACCCCAACCTTAGTGACTTAAAACCACCCCTACTTCTTCTCTGTCCGTATCTGTAGGTCAGAAGCCCAGGTGGCTTCCATGCTCCCTCGGGTGGTTGGCCAGATCGAGTTCCCTACACTTGTAGGACTGAGTTCTGTTCCATGGCACCTCGAGGCCTCTCTTCAGTCCTTGCACACAGTGTCCTGACATCTGCACCAAGTCCTCTGCGCATTTCAAATCTTGCTTTACCTTCTGCATCTTTCCATCTTTCTCATGCAAGCCAAAAAAAAAAAAAAAAAATGCTCTGCTTCATGCAAGCCAAAGAAAATTCTCTGCTTGGAAGGGCTCTTAGATTTGGATTGGGCCCACCTGGATAATCCAGACTCATCCTCCTTTTTAAAAGTCTATAACTTTATTTACATCTGCAAAGTCCCTTTTTCCACAAAACACAATATATTCATAGGTTCTAGGGATGAAGGTGTGGACAAATTTGGGAGACCATGGTTCTGCTTACCCCAACCCCTTGACTCACCTCTCCTCCCTCACTTGCTCATCCAGCTGGTCAGTGCCTAAACCTCTCTCCAGTCACCTCCTGTGTGTTGCTTTAGACCTTCACTGTTCCATCTCTTCTTTGATCACTGGTGCTTGGACTGGTGCAGTAGACTCCTACCTGGTATCCTTTGCTTTCCGTCTTGCCGCTCTTCCACCCTTCCACTGTCATTTGACCTCTCTCCAACAGAGCAGTGAATACGTCACTCTCATCATTCCGTCCTTCACAAGATGCCCACCTCCACCAGGATAAATCCCAACTCCTCAGCATGGCATTCCAGGCCCCAAGTGTCCCTCCTACTGTGCTCCCTCTTGCTCTTCAATGTTTTACACCAGTCTTTTGTATGCCTTCAATTCGGCTTGTGCCTTAGTCCTCTGGGCCTGCATATATGCTGTTCCCTCTACCAATAATGAATGGCCTTTCTCCATTTCTGGCTTCTGGGAAAACTCCTACTCATACCACAAAACTTTGCCTAACTATTACTAACTTAACTATTATTTTGAATCATCCCTCAACGCATTAGTTGGAGTTGCTCTTTCCTCGCCGTACTACCAGCACCTTGGCTTTATTGCTTTTCTAGCACCTACCACAGGATACTACAATTATTGGCTTACATGCCCATGCATTTCCCAAGAGACGACAGGCTGAAAGCTCAAATGCCCAGAGAAGCCAGACAGATTGTGCAAATGTGCGAAACCTTTTGGGGATAAGACAATAAGGACTCAAGGGGCCTGAGAGAAACTTGAGAGTTCACGCCAGGCTCAAAGCTACCACGTTTCCGAAAACCCCATGTAAATGAGACCTAGGAATCCTCCTCTGGCGGGCAAGCCTTGCGGACATTCATGTACACAAGGCTGTTCAGAGCGGCATTGCTGGGAAGAGCTAAATGTCCGTCCAGGAAAACAGAAATGCAAACTGTGGAAGGCTCACAGAATAAAGTTCAGCAGTTCAAAGAAATAAACTATAACTCCATCCAACTACATGGAGAAAGCTCACAAAATGTGGGGGAAAAAAAGAGGCAGGCAGAGAAAGATGATGCCATTTATACAGAGTAAACATGGTGCAAACAAAGCCCTATTTGTTTCTGGTCACACAGGTGGTAAAAGCGTAAAGACTTGCCCAACTGTGATGATGTCTATATCCAGGACAACGTTCTCTGTGGGGATCCTAGAGATGGCCAAGAGGGGTATTAGCTGAATTTGCATTTGATTTGATTTATGTATTACTTAAGCTGAGTGGTGGCGTAGGGGTGTTTGTTAATTTATTCTCTGTTGTTCAGAGTTGGCCTGAAAGACCTCGCAATTAAAGGCAAAAAAAAAAAAAAAAAGTGGCTCTCGTGTGGTCTAACCCACATCATGCCGCCTAGCACAGAGCCTGGCACAGGCAGGATGAGGAAAATACTATGTCCGTTTTACAGATTGAGGGAAAGAGAGAGAAGGTACGTTCCCCAGGTTCCAGAGGACAGACTGGCCTTGGGTTCGGGGCTGGAAGTGTGTGCGCAGAGGTAGAAATGGCCCATCCCTGGGCCTTTCCCAGAACCAGCCCTCCCCGGCTCACATTTACATGGACATTTGCACAAGGCCACAGCAGTCCGGTATCGGAACGGAATTGAACAGCCCTTTCAACGTCCCCCGTGGCCCTCTAGAAGCTACCAGAGTGGGCATTAGTGGGGAGAGGCTCCAATAATCCAACTCAACAGCTCTAAGAAGACTCCCACTGTCTCTGCAGCCGGCCCGTCTGGTAGGCCTCTGGCCTCTCCCCAGACTCTCTCTGCCCCCAACCGCCCCCAGCTGGGATGGCTCCTCTCTGACCAACTCACCACTTGTTACCTACATGATCTATTCCCTTTCTCAGACTCTCTGTCCCTTCCTAATGTATCTCCACGATGTCCAGGTTCCTTTTGACTGGTCCCCTCACCCATTACCCTGACGGGCAGATCAAGACCTTGCCCACAAGGCTAACAGTCTTTGGGGACCGGCTGTGGGTATTCAAAAGATTCTACTTTCTTTCCAGTGACAGCCACTCCCACAGACCTGAGCCAGCAACTCTCCACTCTTCCCACATCCCTTGTCCAGGATACGTAGGGTGACCCACCGTCTGGTTTGCCTGGGACTGTCCCAGGCTTTTTTTTTTTTTTTTTTTTAAGATTTTATTTATTTTTTGACAGACACACAGCAAGAGAGGGAACACAAGCAGGGGGAGTGGAAGAGGGAGAAGCAGGCTTCCCGCGGAGCAGGGAGCCCGATGCGGGGCTCGATCCCAGGACCCCGGGATCATGACCTGAACCAAAGGCAGACGCTTAACGACTGAGCCACCCAGGCGCCCTGGGACTGTCCCAGGCTTATCACTGAAAGTCCAATGACCCAGAAAACCCCTCCGTCCTGGCAAACCAGGATGATGGGTCATTCTACCTATCCTTTCTTCCAAAAGAAGCCAGACATCTCAGGGACTCTCTTAAGAGACTTGGAGACAGGCTACCACCACTAGGAATGACCACCAGCCTCTGACCAGCATGAGGCCCCAAACCCCAAGGACATCTCGCAGTCAGTGTCACCCAGGGATTGCTGCATCCTCAAGGCGCAGGTGGAGACCCAGGCCCTGGTTGGGACCATGTGGCCCCAGGCAGCACTGAAAGTTACACATTGCATTCTCCAGGGGTAGACACTGGGAAGTTTCTATAATCCAGGCCATGAAGGTTGGGGCTGGCCACTCTGCATTGCAAGAAGAAAGAATTTTAAGTCAAGGGGTCAAAACTCAAATACCTACATGACCAGGCAGATGACCTAAGTGAATCCAGCCAGGCAGGAACTATGCCCTTAGTACTTTGGGTACTTTTTTCTACAAGGAACAGGGGCTGCCCTGTCTCAAACTGCCTTTAAAAATAAGGAAATTTATTAGGCATTTACCAGGATGTCTAGAGGGACGGTGGGTTTCTCAAGTGAATGTTTGAGCAGCTCCAACAGGCCACTAGAGACACAGGTTCCTTCCACCTCTCTTCTCTGCCATCAGCATGTTGGCTTCACCCCCAAGTCTGGCCCAAAATGGTTGCTGTGGTTCCAGGGATCACAACCAAATTCACCATCTCTCATTGGTTGGGATGGTGTCACATGGTTATTCTCCAACCAATGACTGGTGGTTTCCCCTGAGCCAAAGAGCTGAGCTGGAGAGGGCTGTGGAAGGACAATAAGAAGAGAATTTCCATCACCAATTTGAGGAAGGATCTGGGAGAGCCACTTGAAACAGAGACACTGTTTCATACGTCCATTAGCTTCCTCTCCCTCCTGGTCTCTGAGCCAGGCACCACATTTCACAGCCCCTTTGGGTCCTTATTGGGCCTCATGACGGGTGCTCACCCATGTGAGACACTTCCTAGCTGATGCGGTTAAAAGCTGGTTTGCTTTCCC